AGTGATAGTATTTAATGTTTTTACTGGTAAATCAAAATTTATGATAGAGCAGAGTAGCTTATCACCATCAATAAATTCATGTAAGGAATGCCCTTTATGTTCTAAGAATATAGCTTCTATTCTGTCCTCATTGTCTGCGCTTAGAAAATATCTTGGTCTGACATTATCATTGCGAATTTTATATTAGTATTTTCCTATGTCAGAGACATTAAACCCATATGAGGTGAATACATTGAGGAAGTTTGAAAGCTTGAATTGGATCATTTTTTTCTCAAATAATTTATAGTTATACCAAAACTCGAGGTATATTATTCGCAAGAAAAAAGTTTAAAATAAAAATAATTCCTTAATATTATTAATAGATATATACAAATAGGAGGTAGAAAAAAGGAGACACAATCCCAGAAGGATCTATCCTATAATTATTATTATTGTCTATATATTCTTAAGACTGGAGAAGTGTGTAATCAGATATGCTATGATCTAAAGAGATGTAAAGTCCATCAAAATTTTAAGCAAGTTTCTTATAAAGAATGCAATAAGCTGACAAGATCTGGATATGACTATTATGATACACATGCAAAAAAAACATAGATTGAGAGAACATTATTATCAGAAAAAGCTGGCTAAGCAAGTTGAGAATATGTTTCAGCAAACTGTTCTAGAAATTTCATTCTAGTTTCCGTCCTAGTTCGTCCTAATTATTCTAGTTATCCTAGTTATCAAAATTTTCTAGAATAGATGAAATATAGCTAAATGGTAATTTTAAGATAAATGGAAGGAAAGAAATAATTTGTCCTAGTTGTCCTAGTCGTTCTAGTAAATTTTGGACTTCTTTATTTTTTTTATTTTTTTACTTATAGATATGCTAGTATATATCTATATAATATATAAATAATATACATACTGTATATTATATATATACTATAGGAAGGGTTACATTTTTTTTTCTAGAATTTTTATTTTTACTAAGACAACTAGGATAACTAAGACGTAATATAAAAGAATAAGTTAAATCAAAGAAAGAAACTCTTATTCCATATTATAAACCGTTCTAGTTCCCGTCCTAGTTGACCCAATAACTTAGACAACTAGGACAGATTATATTTTCGCATGACAAATATGAAATTACATTTTTATAGCATATATATATCACACATATGACATACATATATACCATAAGATAAGTTTCGATATTTTTCCTAGAACTTTACTTTTACTAAGGATACTAGAAACGTTCAAAAATTAGCATACTCATTGCCTTAACCTAGATTAAACCATAATCAGGCTTCAAAAGAGCTTATAACATCCTGCCAATATATCAGCAATAAATAGGTAATCAAAAAAGTAAAATATAACTCAGCATCCAAGCTAGCCTGAAATTGGCGAACTAATAAAAATATTCTGGTTTCCTGCCAGTTCTATGATAGTTCTAGGATACTATCAAGACACTATCATGATGCCAAGCTGAATCTTTAAATCACATACCTAAAAGATCAGCCAAAATTAATCGCAAATTTACTGCACCACTTGATATGATATTTTTTTTACCACATTTTTGGGATCTAGAAAGGCAACCAAATAGGTGTAAAGAAAAAGCACTCTAATATAGAATCTAGCATCCAATTAGGTGCAGAAGGCTAGCATCCTCAATATAAAACCAGATATTAAAACAGCTACAGAGGGTCAACAACTTTATTATAGAATTTAGCATGTAAATGACTCAGAAACAAGAAGAAAAGCGTGGTATTTAGATTATAAAGTAGTAGTTAGGTTAAATAGTGGATAATAGTTAGATTATATATGGTAAAAAATATAGATATCAAGAAAGATTTAAAAAGATAGTTAGAGTATAAAAAAGATACCTGATATGTGAAAATAAATAGATTATATAGTGATAATTAGATAATATTATTTAAATTATATAGTGATAATTAGATTATATTATTTAGATTATATAGTGATAATTAGATTATATTATTTAGATCATATAGTGGTATTCAGATTATATAGTGGTATTTAGATCATATAGTGGTATCCAGATTATATGATGGTAATATAATCTAGGATAAGTGGGATACCGCCATTTAATATAATTATATTAAATGGTAGTATCCCACTTATAATGCTTTCTATTAAAAACTAAAAAAATATTAAAATTTTATATTTAAAATTAATTTAAAAAAACAATATATATAAATAATTCTATTAAAAATTATGCTAAAAAAATAATATTATTTATCATTAAATTCATTTTATAAAAATTATTAACCTATAAAAAACTTATTAAACAAATTAATTTTAAAATTTTTAAAATTGATATTTAATAAAATATTTTATAAAAAACTTTATCAAAATCATTCAATAACTCTTTAGAAGTTTTTTTATATTTTAAAAAAAGAAACTTGAAAAATAATTTTAATTTAATATTTAATATAAAATATATACAAATTCTAAAAGAATCATATATTATAATATAACAAATAATATATAATACTTTTATTCTTATCAAAGAATTTAGCAAAGATTTTTTCATTAATTTTTATTGATTATGAAATATTATTATATTAATATCTTTTATTAGTTGATAATATTACTTAGATTAATTTATTTCTTAATAACAAACTATTAAATTAAAAAAATTAATTTCAAAAGAAAATTTAATAAAGCTTAAATAATAAATTTGTAAAATTTAATTGTAATATTACAAGCTTTATAAAGAATTTATAAACTCTGAACAATTAAATATAAATAATACTTATATATACACTACCTTTCAAAAAGTATCCGGTCAAGCTTTTTTTAAATTTCTCAAGATCGGATATATTAACTAAATAAAATTTTTTTTTTAAATAAATCTCCTAGTTCTGACGATTAAGTACATATGTTTATATTCATGTAACAATATGTAGATCAGTTTTAATAAACAAAACGTAAACATTTCTCTTTTTTTAAAACTGCGTCGTTCGATATGGAAAAAGTTGCGAATTAAATGAGTTTGAACGTAGAAAAATAATCAGTTTACGGATAGCTGGAAGAACTCATAAAGCTATTGCTCGTCTTTTAAAGATTCCACAAAGTACTGTTACAGATATAATCACTCGACATGCTAATTCTAGTAATTCCAAAAAATCTTCGTGAACTTGAGGAGATATTGCAAGAAGAATGGAGAAAATTCCATCCCAAACCTATATTAAACTTATAAAAGCATGCCACATAGAATTGAAGCATACATTAGAAGCCAAGGATAGTTTACTAAATATTAAATATATTAAATGTTTTATTTATATCAAAAATCTCAAATAAATAAAATATTATTTTGGTTGACCGGATACTTTTCTGAGGGTAGTGTATTTACAAGTATAAATATGTTAATATAAATATATTAATAAATTCATTAATAAAAGAAGCATAAATAAAGGATATTCTATTTATTATAAAAAAAATTAAGATACTGTTGAATAATTAGAAAATTTTACTTAGACTTGTAATATTAATAAAATAACTAATCTTAAAAAAATTAGAAATTATCCTAATTTACTTAAAAAGACTAGCATTAATATGGTGAATAATAAATCAAATCTATATTATAAAATATATTAATTGAATTGTTATTTAGATATAAAATAATAATAATACAGATTTATTATTAATTTCTTTATAGCCTTTTTTTTAAAAAAATTTAAATTATAAAATAAAATAATAATACTTGTAACTTATTTTTAAAATTATACTGAAGAATAAAAACTTCAGTTTTTAATTATCTAATTATAATAAAAGTAAGAAAATTAATTAATAATTTCTTATCAGAATTTTATTTAATAAAAAACTATATAATGATCAAATATGAAATTCTTACTTAAAGAATAAAGGTTTATAAATTCATTAATTAAAATTAAAATATAATATCAACAAATATAAATAAGTATAATATTACTATATCACTTAAACTAATATTTTTAAAGAAATAATAGCTAATTTAACATATAAATTCAGTAAATAAACATAAAAAGAAGAAATTATTAAAATATAATATGCAAAAATTAATAAATTATTAACTTAATAATGCATTACGTTTACTATATCTTAAGGGTAGAGTCTTTTGTATATAATTGATAATAATTGATAACTGACTCAGTGATCGATATGTGTAACATTATAAAAATAGTAACAAATTAATATCACCTGATCACAATTTATATTAGCCAATCATATGTTAATAAGTTTCGTATTTATTTCAAAAACTGTTGCCAAATCATAGAAGTAATAATATTTTCTGCATTTTTGCAAATTTCTACAATTTTACAACTATGAGTCAATACTGAAGATTCAGAACGAACTCTTTGAAGATCAATAATTTGAATAATAATTTTTTTATCAATTAAAGAATCCAGTAAATAAAAACATATATTTTTTGGACGTAATCTTGTTTGAAAACAATTTGAGGAATATTCTGATACTTGTATGAGGTTTTTTTAGTTACATTATTATTCTTATTTCCATAAAACACATCTACTATATCATCACGAGTTATGTAATGTATGTTATTACTTTGAATTGCCGCATGTTGTAATAATACTTTTACAATTCTAACAAGCCGTAATGTCTCTACTGTTACATTACAAAGATCTGGTTTATCTTTTTCTCGTTCCTTACAATTATCACAATTATGACATTCCGAAATTATTGGATCATCAGGCCAAAGAAAAAAATGGTATGCTATATAGATGCCTGCTGAAACCTCCTCAAAATAATTTCGTCATATCCTTTTCTATGTTTTTAATATAGTTTCGACAGTTTCGCCTTTCGTCGTATCGAAAGGGTTTCGTCGTATCCCTTATTATGATTTTAATATAGTTTCGTCTAAGTTTCGACTGTTATTAAGGGGTTTCGTCTCTCATCATTAGTATGCTAGTTATTGACGACATTTATATACTGTTTCTGTAAATAATACCATTATCATAACTTTTTCTTTTTTTTTATCCATTGTAGCATTTAGATTAGATGAATGTTGTAATACTGTAAAATTAGAAAGACTAATAAAATAGATTAGTAAATATTATATATTATAGATATTATAGATATTATGTTAATATTTACCTTTCTTGCCCATTACTCAAAATTGTTAATAATGTACAGATATCACTTTGTGAATAAAATAATATTGCTCTGGATTGTTGTCCAGATCGTCCAGCCTGACCAATTTCTTGTATATATCGATCATAAGACATTGATAAAGTTGTATGAATTATTAAAGTAACATCATTTACATTTATACCCATACCAAAAGCTGAAGTTGTAGACATTATCTTGATAATTTTATTCTTCCAATTTGCAGATATAATAGATTGTTCTTTACTTGTAAATTTTCCATGATACATTTCTATAATAGCTGGGTCAAAATTTTTTTGAAGTTTTTTCATCATATCATTACACTCTATAACTGTAGCCCCATAAATAATTGCGTGTTCTTCAAGATTATCTAATAAATCAAATATAATTTGATAAAGTTTATTTTTGCGATTAGTTTAGGTTTAATTTCTAATGTAATTTCTGGACGATAAATAATTGAAGTTCTAATAACTTTCATATTAGGCCTTTTTAAAATTGATTGTATAATTTCTACATTAACAGGCGAACATGTTGCAGTTAAAGCTAAAACAGGAATCATCAGAAAGTCACATTTTAAAGTTCCCAATTTTTTCCATGCGTTCCTATTAGAAATTTATAAATTACAATTTTTTTTTTAATTTTTTATAATTTTGTTACTTACCGAAATCCTTCATAAGAAACTATGCAATGTGCTTCATCTATAACAAACTGGAGGCCTCGACTATTATAAACCTTTTGTAACATAATATGAAATTAAAAATTTTCTATATATTTTTCTGGGGTAACAAATAATATGCGACATAATCTGCTTGCAATTTCGGCAAAAATTTTTTCTTGTATTAAAGGTGATTGTTTTGAAAAAGCATATAACATTGCCGCTGGTATTTCCATTCCTACCATTTCTCGCTTTTTTAAATTTTTAAAAAAAAAATCAATAAAATAATCATATTTAATTTATTATTAAAAACAAATTATAACTTACTACTTGATCATCCATCAATGCTTTTTGAGGAGTAAATATTACAGTTAATCTCTGTAATAGTATACTTGCAACCGCATATATCAAACTCTTTTCCCACCAGTCTTTAATATAGTTAATGTGTCTTGATTGGATAAAAAAGATAATATACTTTCATGTTGCTTTTCATGATATCTTTCAAATCCAAAAAATTCAGTAATAATACTGTTTATTATACTATCTTTCAAAATTATCTTTCAAATCCAAAAAATTCAGTGATAATACTGTTTATTATACTATCTTTTAAAATTGATTCAGAAGTTGATTGTTCATGATATTGCGTGTTTGGTATATAGTCAGACAAATTATGTTTTTTTAAATAACCACATAATGCGCATAATCCATTGACATATTTTTTTTTAAAAAGATCGACAAGCTATACATTTGAGAGATGATGATTTGAATGCAGCTACTAACGGAGCAAAAGATGATTCAAATTTATTTTCAATAAGCTCTTCTTGAATCCGCAAACCATATGGAACCAAATCCTATATAATTTAATAAAGATTTAGAATTAAAATATAACTATTATACAAATTATAATAAATAATACCTGAGAAAAATCAAAACTTTCTAATCGTTTTTTTTGATCAATAATTTTTTCAACCCATTTTTTATTACACGTTTTAATTGCTATTAGATTACTTTTTCTTTTTTGCTCTTTTTGTTTCCAAATTTTAAATAGGTTTTTTTCATTCTGATCAGAAAAACTTGCTAAATTACCCGCTATACGAACTTTACGTTAGAGCTCTATAAAACCATTATTATTATGAATAATTAAAAGTGCATGATGAGCTTGAAAAGACTTAGAATAATCGATTTTTTTTTTTGTATAATTCAATTTCAAACGATTAAATACTTCATTATAACTGATACATATTGTTGTTATTAAACTTTGATTCTCTCTAAGTTTTGTTATTTTTTTAAGAAATTCTAATAGTTACATACATTGATTATCATCTGTACTAACTAAATTGGGAGTTGGTAAGCTCAAATCAGAATTATTTACAATCCAACAAACTTCTGACCAACATTTTGTATGATTTCCTTGTAAATGACAAATTACACCCTTAGTATGTATCCATGCTAATTCCTTGTCGGTTAGAGTTGGAATTTCTGAATTATTAGCTCTGACAGAAGCTGCATAAATACATCTTGTGTAATATTTCATAATTGATTGTTCAAGATGTTTCCAATTACGATCTGATGCTATTAACATTAAATAAATAAATTATATTAATTACATGTAATAAATAATTCTAAATTAAATACTTTAATATCTACCTATCTTTGATTGCATAATTTTTGCTTTATGTTTCAAGTCTGCAAATATTTGGTTGACTACATTTAACAAAGCTAAAGTTTTATTTGTAGAAAGGTCTCCATCAACACTAACATTTAATTTGATATTATATTTTTCTAGTATTGTTGAAATCTTTTCAATTATGGCAATTAATATAATATATTCCATCTGTTGTGAGCTACTATCATAATTACCCTCTTGAATAGTAACACGTTTTCCATCTTTAGTTTCATATTCACATTTTTTTTCAACTACATGATAAGCTAAAACTGGACGATGCCCATAACCTAAACCCGATATTGAATTTAAAATAAAATATTATCTTTATTATTATACAATAGCATTTTATACATTCAATTTTTTTTTTTTGAAAAAATATATATATATATATAATAAATTATTATAAACTAACTATTAAATATATAGCCAACCTTCCAATTCTTCATTAAAGATAATTTCTTCACTAGCCTGTGAAGCTTCGCGTACATAGTTCCATGCACAATCAAATGATACTTCTAATATGTTTTGACCATCACTTTGAAGTTATTTACATGCCGTCACCAAAGCATCTTCAACACTAATGTTTGCTACTTGATATAAACTTGAGAAAAATTCTTCTTGTTTATCAAAATATTGCTGATGTCCATTTTGTCTTATAATTCCTAATAATGCTAACATAAATTGCAATTCTTCTCTATTAATGCCTCCAACTAAACCAGCACCTGCTAGGCATTTAGAGAAATCATCTTCTGACCTTTCATTATAATATTTTGGCTCATCAGAACATAGCATACATTTCTTAGTAATGCAAATTCTCAATCCAATAGTTCTGATCTTAGTTTTGCAGTTTGAAGGATTTATATCATGACAAGTGATACATGATTGATTTAAAATTAATTCTAAAAAGATATTGGTACTAACAAGAATGGTAGAATCTAATCATCCTTTTTGAACAAGTTTTTGAATTTTTGACTCTGATTTATCATCATTTTCATCATTTTCATCGTTTTCATTATTTTCTTCTTCACTAAAAATAGAATAAAATTTTTTTATATTAGAATATATATCAAGTTCAAGAATGATAAAAGTTTATAAATCAAAACAAACCTTAGAAAGTCAGATTCATTCTCTTTTTGAATTTTTAGTCTATAAACAGTATCTAGTAATCGACGTAGGTATTTTTTAGTTACTTTTAATTCATTCTTTATTTCACGCACTCAGTTTTGCAATTCCATTAATTTCACACCTAAAGCTTGTACTATCTCATTTGATCCTTGCCATCCGTCAGCTACAATAGGTAATCCCTCTCTGATAATTCCTTTATTGTGAGTATCCTCAAAATATAAATACTCTTGCAATTCTTTAACCTTTCGTTTTGCTTGTTTAAGAATATTATCATGCTGACAATCAGCACGAAATAATGTTCTTTCTAATTGAAAGAAGCTTGGAATATGTTGTGAAATAAACTCTCTAAGCTATTCTACATTTTCTTTACAAGTTAACTTTAATAAAAATGGTACTGATATTGTTTCAGAGTATTTGATATGTAGAGTAGTTTTAATGTGTGATCATAAACTAGATAGATTATCAGACGCTGTGTGCCATTATTGTACATTTGTAAAAGTATAATCATTTGCAAAATCATTCCATTTATACAAAATGGTATTTTCTTTATTACACCACTCTAAATCTAATCTAAAATATGTTTTCCCTAATTTTGTATAAACACAGTAACTGGGAATTAAAGGTACAAAAACTTTATTATTAAAATCATTTTCTATTCCAGCCAATTTGAGTAGTAAATAAACATTATTTGTGTTATTCATATTAGTTTTATTAGGAAGAGTTGAATGTTGTGGTAGAATTCGTAAAAAATTAGCATTCTCCCAAATAAAAATAGTTCGATCAGGTCTAGAATACTTGCGACGTTCATTATTTGCTTCTAAGAGATACTTGGTCCACTTATTATCATTCTATTATAAAATAATATATAACTATTAGTAATCTAAAAATAGAACATAGCATATTCGCATAGAAAAGCAAGAGTGCATATAGTAACCTTCAAAATTAAAGTCTTACCATTATATTACGATATAAGTAAAGTTGTAAAGTGTTAAGCTGAGCTGCTTATTTCCAAGATTGGCAGAGTAAAAGCACAAACTGAGCTAGTTAGGTGAGATAATGAGCACTTTAAGGGTGTAATGAGCACTCTACAGCTAAACTTCTTCTTTATTAAAACTTTGTAAAAAACAAATGAAAACTGAAATATGTAACTTGTAAAAGCGAAAAAAACCACTGAAAATTTTTTTTTTTTTTTAAAGCAAATTAATTTATTGGTTATTAACTTAGCCTTATCACGCTTTTTTTTAATTATATAAAATTGACTTAGGTGATGATCGGCATATATGTAATATATGTGTAACCATTGATCAAAAGACCCTACACTTAATAAAATAATTTAATATATTATTATGCAAATAATAAAGGTATATTAAAAAAAATTATTCTAATAAATTACTATATATCAGAGATTAAAATTGTTTAACTAAACTCATTTTGAATTTGACAAAACATCTAAACTATAATTTTACTAATTTTTTATTAAAGTTTTAATATAGTTTATATTTTTATAAGCTTTGATATAGTTTTACGTTTTTTAGAGTTTTGCAGATTTTTTAATAAAATTTTATTAAATTTTACTTTTTTCTATTTAAATGATTTATAAAACTTTTAGATTTTATTCAGTAACCTTATCAGAGTCTAAAATACCTTAAGTCTTATACAATATTTAGAAATTTAAAGGTCTTATTTAAAGTATTTTATATAAATAGATATATAGTAAATATTGTGAATATAAAAGTATAAGTAGACATAAGTATCCAAAATCTTATAATATTTATATATATTATATATTTATAAAATAATTAAAATAGAAGAAATATTATTTTATGAAAAATTATAAATTATATTTATTTTTTATTTCTACTTTTTATATAATAAAAATATTTCAAAATAATTTATATATAATGTATTTTATTTTTTTATAACAAAATAATTAAAAATAATTATTATTAGTAATAAAAAAATAAAAAATGTGTAATTATTTATTATAAAAATAATAATAATAAAATGTAAGAAAAAAATTAATAGTGATGTATTATTTGAAAAATAATGGGAGAAATAAATAAAAAATTGCTAAAAAATTTGGTATTCAATCTAAATAAGTGTATAATTAGAATTTTAATAAAAAATTATTAGTAGCTATGTCTTATGTTATTAAGCTTTATTCAGATAAATCTGCTAAATATCTAAGTTTAAAAGTAAATTTATTTAATATAAATTCATAAAAAAGAGCTAATTAAAATGCTTTACTTAAAAATAATTACTAGTAAAACTATTATATTATTTAGAAATAAAGAATTATTATTGATAAGATATGATTTTAAGAAATATCATCGAATAGAGTTCTGAATGAGTCAAGTCGAGTTAAATTTAAAGACCAATTCTATTCAACTCATTTTTTTCAAGTCAAGTCGAGTCAAATTTATTTTATAAAATCTTTCAATTTGATTTGATTCGAGTTATATAAATTTT